TTTTTTTTTTTTTTTTTGAGACAGGGTCCTGCTTTGTAGTTCAGGCTGGCCCTAAACTCTCTATGTAGTACAAGCTGGCCTAGAACTCATGGTGATTCTCCTGCCTCAGACTGCTGAGTGCTGGGATTACAGACTTCAAGGAAAGAGGATGTCTAAAATGCTGTGCAGTGGTTTTCAGAGTTTTAGATAGCTTGGAGGTTTGTCTGTCCTTTATAGAAAGCTATGTGCCTAGGTACCCTGGGCCCAAAGGTTGCAGCTCACCAGAGTCTGGAGGGCTGCCCAGAGTCCTCCTAAGTGCTTAAAAGGTTGGACCAGCACCAGCAAAACTCTATGTCTACATGCTGGGGTCAAGGGTCTCAGTTTACCAGAGTCCTGAAGGCTGCCCAGAGTCTTCCAAAATTTTTAAATGGTTGGAGCAGGCCCATGAATTGCAGCGCACCAGATTCACATGGCTGCCCGGCGACCTCCTAAATTCTTAAAATCTGAGATTTTTTTTTAACTAGTTAAAGATTTTTCTTTCTTTTTTTGCTTTGCTTACCGAGCTAATTTTTAAACATTTTCCAACATATCACTAAGCAAACACGTCTGCTTTTAGAAAGTTCGCTTTTGGTTAAAGTGAATGATATTGACTTGTGCAAGACAAATGCTTACCACTAAAAAACTTTAAATATTCATCAGAAGATAAAATTTAGAATATAAAAGATTAGGTTCAGTCTTAACATGTAATAAGACTGAAAATGTATTGCAAGTCACAAATTTTTTATTTTAGTTCATATTTTTATTCATTTTAATGAGAAAAAAGATAAAATAATGAAACAGTTTTAAAACAGCTTAGTAGGACAGTTACAATAATTAATACATTGCATATTGTTGTGTTCATAGTAATTATTCAGAGGATAGGACATGGACATGATATTGTTTTGATTTTTTATTATTTATTTATTAATTTGAATGAGAAAGAAATGGCAATAAGATTTTCAAAGCAGGTTAGTAGGACAATTACAATAATTAATATATTAGATATTGTTGTCTTTATACTAGTTTTTCAGAGTATAGGATGCAGGCATGATATTTTGTCTAAATAATACTAGAAAAAATCTTTCTTCTCATTGAACTAAGAGAAAGGAGCTGCATATCTGTGTTATTTTGCATCCATCCATATGTTTTATCACCAGTCTGTTTTATCACATTTCTAGGGAAGACTGGGATGCCATTTTCCTCTTTCCTTAAAAATATGTTATATAGACGCAGGATAACTTGGATAAGTGTATTGCTGATTTCTACTGACCTACTGAAAGGATTAGTTAATGCTTAAATTTTTTTCTTCTTTTTAATTTTTTGACCTATTTTGCATACTTCTATCTGGTAATCTGAACCAAATATATTTGAAGACAACAATATGCAATATAAGAACACTTGTTGAATTCTTATCATTTCGTTTACTGAAATTCTGTACCATAAAGAAACAAAAATAAATTTTTTTACTATTTTTTATTCTCTTCAAAAAAGAAGTGTGTTCTAATTGTTGAAGCAAAGAAAAACTTTGTCTCAAGCTTCATTTTTAACCACACACGCAAATGCATGCACACATGCACACACACATATGTGCACACATACATACAAAAAGACACACACAAAAACACCACTGCTCAGGAAATACAATTAAGTCAGTTGAAACTAAA